AAATTTTAACATTGAAGGAGGATGAGATAGCTTCCAAGTAGAAGAATGACTTTTTAATCATTAAAATATATTTTGAAACCTTTTCAACAACGGGACAGAAATGTGGTCCCAGGTCGGTCGGTGTCCCTTCATTTTCTTTCTCAAAGCAAATAAAAATGAAGTTATTCATCCATCAGTTGGGCTTGATTTAGTTGGGCTCATTCGGGTTTTTGCCCAAACAAAATGCGTTTTTTGTGGGCCGAGGGTGGTATCGCAAGTAATCTCATGGGCTTGCTTCTTCCACTTAAAGCTAAATTGTTTCCTGCACTTAATTATATTCTTTCTAGTTATGCATCCAATTTTATTTTGTTTTATAAACTTTTCAAATTATATTTACTTTGACGAATCCTTTTCTGGAACAGCATTCTATGAGTCTTGAACCATGTCAACATCTTTGCCCAAACATTATGAGATCCTTACTTAATTAATTCACATAATTAATTCAATTCCTTCCACGTGCTCCTTAATTTTAAATAACAGACAATAGACAAGATCAATAATATACATTAACTACATTAGCAAATTAAGACATACTCCAACTCCAAGAGAATAATCCTAACAAAACTAAAATCTCATATTATACATGCTAACTTTCTATAAATTTATTATAGTCATAATATAAATCTATGTAAATTTATAGTCATAATACAAATCTATGATTGATTGAAAGTTCGTATCATTAGATAATATCTATAAAATCCTGTGTTAATTATATATTAATAATTGTTTAATTTTGATGAAAATTGACATAATTAAGCAATTGAGGAAATATATAGTTACAATTCAATTATTAGATTGATTAAAAGGAAAAAAAATCTATATAAAATTATTGTTTTAGTGTAAATTATGAGGATGCATGGAAGATTTTACACTTTAAAAAAAAAGTTCAAATGTTTTTTTTGAGCCATATGTTCATTTGAAATAATGTGCTTAATGTATCAAAATGTTTTAATATTTTTATTAACTATTAACTTCAATATATTAAATATGAATTCATATATTTTTAGAGATTTTTCTTTAATGAAAAAAATTGTAAAAAAAATTAACTTTTATTTAATTCAATTTTTATTTATCGTAATTATTTATGAGTTAAATATTAATATTTTAAAATAAATTATCGATAAATAAATACTATATATATATATATAGTTTACTATAAATTTAAATTATGTATATATAATAAACATGTGCATTTAAAATGCTAGTTTTATAAGATATAATAATATTGTTCACATTTGTACCTAACAATAATTAAATAAGCCTTCCAAAAGTGAAAGTATTTGCATTACGATAAAGTATAAACCAATTTGGTAACTAAAAAACATTTGAATTAATTATTGGGGAAAGATAACAACTCTTAAGTTAATTATAATAAAAGCAAGTAATTAAAAGAGTAAGGACCACCATTGAGTAGAAGCTGAAACCAATGAAAAGAGAATCCCAATATATTTGATAATCATGGTGAGAGACAGACCCAAGTGTCATGATGATAACAAAATAAGAAAGCATTTTTCTATATATTCCTCCCAAACATGCACTAATCCACTAATGCAAGCGAGATGAAATTGCATCCAGATCATTACATACCATTCTCGTTTTTTCTTTTCTTTCTTTTTGGCCAAACACAACAATTTCTAATTCGCTCTCATACATTCCACACATCATTTAATCTATAGTTTGCTTATAAACAGTTTTAAACGATTTCATATAGTCATGATTCATGCCTATATATATATCCTTTTAATTTCTATCATTTTGCTTCGTGAATCTGTGGAGTTAATTAAATTACCTTCAAATCATACCATTCTATCGAACTATTTGTGTTCCTAGTTACCAAAAGTGAAACCGGATATGTTCGTAGAGATATATTATAAATTTGTACCGACAAAATATATATGTTACATTAGAAATTGAATTAAGATGTAAAAATATGAAATCGATATATATCATCGGTGGATCGTGCTATTAATGTTGTATGTTATACATATTCAATATAAAAACCCATAATATCTGTATATTATATAGTTGAATTTTGTTAAACATATTATATAACTGATAAAAACAAAAGTACTAACTAATAGTTAAATTATATATCAGGGAAAAACAAAAGTACCAACTAATAACATTGAATGAGTGATTCACTTATTTTAAAAGTAAATCTATTTAAATTTATTTTTTAATAATTTAGTTATATTATAAAAATATATATATTATAGTGACATATACTTTATAATGATACAAAATACTTGTTAATAAAAATTATTTTTACATTTATTATAAATACAATATATGTTGATATATTGTTAAAAAATATATATATAAATTATAGTGACACACAAAATATGTTAGTTGAAAACCATTCAAAATCAACATTTATATTATGTGTGAACATATTCAATTAGATTTATACCTACTTATAATATTCATATAGTAATATTATATGTAACATTTTTTGTAGTGTCATGTTCTGTATTAAATTTCAATGATCCAATTATTGAATTAAAAGTTCTAATATATAGATTAAGTATGAAAATTTTTAAAAATTTAAAAATTATTTGATATTTTGTTATATATAAATTCAAATTAATGTATAAAATATTTTTATGATTACCAATCAATTTGAATTAATTAAACGAAGTATCAAAAAGTTTTTAAATTTTGCAAACTTAGTCTATGCATTAAAAATTTTAAATTCAATTGTTGGATTGTTAAAATTTGATGTCGAACATAAGTTATTGAACAAAGTAAGTTAAGGTAGACTTACTCTTAGAGTAAACAAATACATCATCTCTATATACATATACATATATATATATATATATATATATATACACACACACCTAGATTTACTCTTCTTAATAATCTATGATCTACATCAAATTTCAATGATCTAACCATTGAATTAAAAACTCTTAATACATAGATCAAACCTATAGATTTTTTTAAATTAAAAATTATTTAATATTTCAGTTTATTAATTCAAATCAATATATAAAAGAACTTTATAATTATCTGTTAATTTGAATTAACAAAATAAAATATCAAATAGTTTTTAAATTTTTTAAAACATTGCAAGCTTAATCTATGTATTAATTTTTTCTAATTTAATAGTTAAATTATTAAAATTTAATGTAAAATATGAGTTTATTGAGTGAAATAAGTTTAAGTAGATTTACTATTAAAATAAGTAAATCCCTCCTAATATATATATATACATACTTGCCAACTATACATTTCACTTCTTTTCTTTCTAGACCTTAGACCTTAGAAAATGTAGTGAAAGGAATATATATAAGAAGTAATCCAAACTCATTTTAAAGAATTATATTGTTTCTTATACGATGCTGCTAGAATACATTCGTTTCATTAGTTATTTGTATACCACTGAACAAAAATGAAATAAACGTCATTCACCTTTGTTTTTATCAAGTCCACAAACATACTTTTGTTAGATCAATAGTTTTATATCTTGGAGAGTACAGAAACCTGGAACATATTACTCTAATACCTTGCAGGTTAGACAGGATGCAAAGTTTCAGAAAACTTTATATATTGACAACAATGAAAATAGTGCCAACGAAGAACCACAAGATTTAGACCTATGCCTTGTACGGATATGGAAGGAGCATCCTCCGTTGGCCTTTTACTTGTTGTTTTGTTATATATGCTATCCTGTGTATGAAAGAAAAATCACTAAAATAATAAATAACATGCTATCTGTTGTCCTTGTATTTTAAGGGAATTATGATCATGATATATATATGTTTCATAAACTAAATGAGTAATAAATATATTTTTGGTTGCTCTCTTTAAAAACAAGTTTATTTTTTAAAGTATAGCTTTATCTCTAGAATAGACCTTAAATGTTAATGATGTGTTTGAGTCCTAAGGCTGTTCTTTTTTAATTTTACAATACATATGCTAGAAAGCCACCGCATCCAGACATGGAAGCTGGAAAGAAACTAACTAGTATAAACCTAATTATATAAGCTTCAAATTGTCTTCATTTGGAGTGTCTTGAAACTAAAATATACAGACACACGTTAACAACACATTCATAAATACATTAGACAAGCAAATAGCTGAGAAAGTAGGTGCGTGTATATAATGCAGTGTGTAGAAAAAGACCAGGAACTTAAGAGGCATTGGAAAAGTAAAATCTCATTCTGTGGTGTGTAGAAAAAGACCAAGTTGGGTTTTCCACTTACCAAATTGCTGAGAAAGTAGGTATATACATCTTCAGGAATCAGGATCTTATCTACAATTGAAACCAATGAACTACATGCAGCAGACAGATTTGTACGTTTTACATGCAGATACATTTAACCTTATGCTTATTGAACTTGTTTATTATGTTGTTAACTGTGAACAAAAGTTGCAGTAGGGGAAACACGAAAATGCAACATATATATGAGCAACCGTGGTAGCTAGCCCAGAAAACTCATTCAGGGAATATATATTTTAGTTACACCAATTAGTCTGAACCACTATCCTCTGTATGTTCCTTTGTCTCTAAGCCTCTATGGGACATTGGGATTTATTTCAGAGTAAAATTAAGACAGTAATCCCTACACAAACTTAATTCATCTGTTAATTTGGGATGTATGTGGTACAAATCAGTTAATTTGGTATTTCCGATCACTTATAAGTGTTTGGCTGAGTCTAATTAAACTCCTGGATAGCCATTTGGTTTACTCTAATTAAACTCATGGATAGCCACACAAGAAGCCAGTGATAGAGATTAGAATAATATATACAAAAATTTTAGTTCAAGTATTGTTATTATCATTATAATTCTTATGAATAAAAATAATTAAACTTCTTGAGACACGTTGGACAAGAATCCTCCTCTCGTGTATTGGAATACAAAAACACCATATATAATGTTTCAAATATTCCACACCAAACCTGTAGTATTTAAGAAATTAAGGGAACTAAAACTATACCATATATTAAGATGTCCAGGGACAGTATTTGTTACGTCAAAATTTAGGATGTGCTAGGAACAAACCAATTTAGCTCTCATTGTCTTATACAAAACCAGAGAGTTTATCTGAGACTTAACGTGATTAATTAAACTAGATTAAAGACATTAAGAGGGTGGACTTCCATTGCAATTATATAATAATAATAATAATATCAACATTTCCTAGCTTATTTACGGCAACAGAGTATATATAGTGCATGCTTCACAATATGCAGCAGCAATTAATTCAAAATTGATAAGCTTGTCTTCACCAATTCTTTCATGAATATCGAGCTCCGTATCCAAAAGCCACTGAATGTAGGTCTTCCACTTCATGAAAACCCCACGTCCTCTTGTTTGTTTGCATGTCATAGGGTATGGAGTAGTTAGAACTCTCATCAAAGCTAGAGAAGGAGCTGCTCTCTTCCATGGCTCCTGAATTTTCATAATTAATCCCAATAGGGTTTAGATCTTCCATGAGAGCATTATTGTTCCCATAATGTTGTGTTGCTGAGGAAAAATTAGTACACAAGTTGGGAAGAAATTCTGGCCCCAGGTTGGAATTTTCAGCCTGGAACCAACTTTGAAGATCTTGGGGTAAAGCAGCAGAAGATTTTCCAAATAATTTTTCACTAGGGTTTTCATTGGCAGAAGTATTGAGACAATTCTGAGCTGCTTGTTCCTTGAGATAAGCCAGCTGTGCTTGTAAATTGACCACCTATATATACATACAAAGATCAAATTAAGCAAAAAGTGCATGCACATATGTATTAATTTATATAGTACAAATTAAGTATATTGAACCTGTTTGGATACACACTCTCAAAAATATTTTTAACTTTGTATCTAAATACTCTTATAGGTTGGCTAGGGCTTTCAATTATGCATAAATTGTGAGATATATTGGGAAATGAACCTGTTGTTGGAGTGCAAAAATATGGGAGACACAGCCATAAATTGGATCCTGAAGTCTGGCTTGTGCTTCATATGAGATTGTGACTGCAGCTTCACAACGGTCACTCACAGGGAGATGAGCAAGGAGCTTTGAAACATTGCTTGCACCAAACACCTTGTGAATGGCTGCAAAATGAGTAGCACCTTGCTCATGGCAAAAGTAAGGTGCAAAAACACAACCTCTCACACATTTCCTCCTCAAGAATTTGCAGGCTCCACAAGGAGATCCTGAACCAGTCATATTGGCCTTTTCAACTGGGGTTTGAGGATTATAATTTGGAATTAATTGTTTCTGACTCTATCTCTTCAGCTTTGTGCTCATGATCATCATCATTTATCATCATCTTTATATACACCGGAGGAAGAGGAAGGGATATATTAGATTAAGGAATAATTAATAGCGTTATGTTCCCTTAATGGCCTACACTGTTCATTATTTTTTTCTGTACAAAACGCTGCCATAACCTATTCTAAATTTTTATTTTTATCTAGAAAATGAGATTCCATTCAGCATCCTTATACGACAAATGAGCTAGCGTTAACCAAACCCATTTTGTTTAATTGATGATTGGATCTATCTTCTATTGTCCTTTTTCTGAATAATAATAATAATAATAATATGCATTGTTGCCTTATAATTAAGTGATAGCCGCAAGTGCATATTTATTGGACTACTTATGCTGTGTCTATACTTGACCGAGAGAATATGAGAATAGAATTAGAATCGGGTTAATAATTGTTTACTGATTTTAAAACTTGTTACAGCTTTACAGTAATTTATCATTATTAACTAATGCAGTTCATGATTTCTATCAGAAACTTTTGATTGAAATTCGGAAGCTTTTTAGGGTTATCTACTGCATTATGCGACAAAAGAATTAGTTATATATTATCAGCACGCCCAACTGTTACCCACACATTTTTTCCCTTCCCATGTTCCGTAATATACGTTTTAGTTTATAATTTTGGGGTACGTACTACGATTCCTATCCTCGATCATCTATTTTTGAGTTAATAAACCCGAATCATATATACTTTTAGCTAAAACAACTCAGAGAAAACAACAAATAGAGTACAAATTAAGGTACTCTCACCTTTGAATAAAATACAAGGGTACCCTTCCGTAACAATGCTGATATACGAAAACAAAATATAAGGGTCTCACTAAAGGCTAAGAAAATAAAAACAGTTCCTCGAAAGCTTTTTTTTTTTATAAAAAAAATAAAGATAGGGGTTTGTGTATAATTGTTTCACATTAGGATTGAAAAATGTTAACAATACACTTCTAGTGAACTCTTTTTAAAATTATTATTTATTATGAATAAAACTTTATTAAAATTTACAAGTTAACGTGTATGATTCATTAGATAGAAAAAGAAACTCCCATGATCTTGCAAGTCATAACAATTGTAACCAATTAAAAAAAGAGTTAATCACTTATACACTGTATAAAATTTTTTTACACTAGCAATCAATTATATCTTTTAATTGTGTCATGTCACTATAAACACATTTACTTTTAATAGTAACATGACACAATTAAAAAATATAATTAGTTGCCAGAAAATTTTTTTACACTGACAGTGTATAAATAATCAACTCTAAAAAAATGTTACATAATACATATGTTGCCAATTGTTAGCATTTCTCCGTTACGGTATATTGATAGCTAGCTCTATCTACATATAATATATAGTTTTGTACGGTAATGAATCCAAGACCTTAATTTGGTTAGTGGAGACAATTTTTTTTAAAAAAATAAAAATTTATAATCATCATATATACAAAAAAAAACATTAAACACAAATATTGAAAACAATCATTAGTGAGATCAATATATAATATTAGGAAGTGTAAAATACAATATGTTTAAACATATATTAATAATTTAATCAAAATGAAGGAATGGATCTGTCCACACTCATTATAATGTAGTTTCACCATTAATTTTGCACATTAGATCATTAATCTAAAAAGGAAAGCGAGGAAAAAGACTAAAAGGCTAGCATGTATAAATAATTCACCTAACCAAAAGTTATTAGTTCAAGTAATTTGATATTTATATTCTTTAATTAAAAATTAAGGTTTAATCTTTATCTTGAACATAGAATTGTGACTGTAAATACTATTTTGCCTTTATAAGAATTGATCTGATAAGAGAGTTATACCTCCTTATTAAAAATAATATTAATAATAATAATAATTCATTCATGATGGCACAAATTACAATGCATGTGATTTATAATTTCATTTATTATATATACCATAATCATTTGAAAGTATTTTTATTTGAACCATGTAAGATTGCTATATATAGGCATAAGGCTTTTCTTTTAAATATGTAACGTAATCCTATATTTAGAATTACTGAAACAATCTCGTGTCCACTGCATTATGGATCAACGATACTAATTACTTTGATTAACGACACATATACTTCACTATAAAGTTATGTACGGGCAATTTGCCTCTATGAGGAGCTCTAACAAACTAGTGGGGATTGGTGTCTTTTAACAAGCACTCGTTAATAATGTTCTAAAATTTTAATGAGATTCATCGATTAAAACATTTAACATTTGCTGGTGGATTATTCTTGTTACTAGAATAATAATTATCCCTTAGTACAGGTAATCTAAGCATAAAATCAATTAAAAAAAGACATAAAAGAGAAGAAGATTCCAACAATGAGTGAAACAAAAGATAGTGACACAAGTTTAGAGCACAAATGAGGCTAATTAAAAGAGAGAGAGAGAGAGGATTTTGTGTTGCCCTTTATAGAGTCGGAATTGTTTAAGGCTGGAGGTCATGGTTTGTCTAGCAATACCGTATAATTGTCATTTAACAAATATTCATAACTTTCAATCACTTTCTTCTGTCCAGTATAGGCACCAACATGTAGACCTCACTCAAATGACCAAATGAAAAATCCATGCCCCACACTCAACCCTAGCTAATTATAACACCCCAATAAAATGCCACCAACTAATAAAAATTTCTTGAAAGAAAGACTTGTTTTTTGGGGGTCTGAGGGAGGGGGAATTGGACAAATTAAACGGTCCTAATCTTAGGGTTTGTGGTTCTTGATCAACATGAGAATGCAACCAAACAAGGGAATTGTTATTAATTTGCTACAAAAAAACATATCTGTTCCTTGAAAATGGCATGAGTGCTTTCCAAACTTGAAGGCCAAAGCTTTCTGAAGCTCTCCACTATAATTTTAAAATAAGAGGGTTTTTTTTTCTCATCCAAGGGTTTATTATGTATATCATATTATTATCTAAATTATTAATAAAAGAAATATACTTTTTAGTGTATATTTTTTTATCGATCATTTTGTCTTTATAACAATCCGATACCACTCGCATTCATTGTTAATTGTTTCATCTCTGCTGTTTAAATTTTAATTTATTATTATTATTTATTTTATTTTTATTTTTTAAAAAATACACATAGATACGAAATGTATTTTTTTTTGTATGCTGGTATATGTATTATAATTAACGAGTAATCATCCTTTCGATATTATTAATATTTTTTTTGTCAGTCCCACTAATTAAATTCTGATCCAACTGCCATCCTACTAGCCCATCAGGTATTCCTGAGGACACGTGAATCCAAAATGATTGACTTAATACTGTACTTTATAACTGATTTTTATGTTTTTTTTTTTTTCTACTCTGCAGATCACATGACCCTGAAGTGATTAATCATTAACAAATTAAATTCATTGATTTGAACATTAGGCGATTCCAGGAAAGCACTCAATCTTATAGTTCGTGTAATTAGGTGTAATCTATTAGTTCATTATACTATGTGATGGACAACAACACCCAGAAAGGAGAAAGAGAAAAAAATAATAATAATAATAAAGAGATAGTTTAAAAGTATATGTATATATATTCGTTGCACAAATTAATTTTCAAAGAAACATCTTAACATGTAATATATAATAAAAGAGCAGGTTTTAGATTCCTATTAATCATCTGCTTCTTCCTGTACGAATTTTTCGGTATTGTTTGACAAAAGAAAAGTTAAAAAAAAAAAATGTACATTATTAATTGAGTTATTCTTTAATCTACCAAGAGTATAACATGGCCCGAATTGAAGATGGCACACGCATATATTCGTATGTTTTTAGTTGATACATAATGAACCACCTCCATGTTTTTATTTCTATGCTAAGCTTAGACAAAGTGCAATGCATGTTCCCCTCATCCCTTCCAAAAATAAATAAATAAATAAAAGGTACGGATATTTGCATAATTTTGAGGGCATGTGTAAAGCTCTATTATGTTTATGTTTGCGTTTATTTCTGTTAGCATATACTGGAAAGAAAGAAAATGGATACACTTTACAGGTGAAGATGTCGTTCAATTAATGTTCTTGGAATATTGGAAGAGAGAGCCTTTTATAGTGTCCAGAGAGGCATCCATATCCTCTCTTGCCTTGCCCTAATTCTTTAATTTCTCTCCTTAAGATAATCCACTTCACATTTCTTAATCACATATATATTTGATTGCACTGCTAAAAATTTATGGATTAGCTTGGCAATTTATATTCAATAATTGACATTCTTTTTACTTTTACACAAGTTTTATTTATTTTTTATTTGGATGCAAATAATGGTTTGATAATAAGAAATCAACAATTTTTAAATATTTTGTAGATTTCTATTTATTTATTTATTATTATTATTTTAATAATAAAATAACCTGATCTAATCAACTTGGTTATGGTTGAGTTTGTTTGATTTGGGCTAATGACAAAAATAGTAAAACTTCAAATTGATTCAAAACGATTGTAATTAATTAGTTTGGATTAAAAATATATCCTTTAAATTTAAGCTGAATCGATTTGTACCTACCCTAAAACTGGCTAGGTTGTAAAATACTAAAATAAACTTATGTAGTAAAAAAAATTATTTAGGTAAAATAACTTATAAATTAGTCAAACTGATTCATAAGCTTCTAAACTAAATACACTCTCTTAGTATCACTTCTATAATTCGAGGTGCATGTTCAAGATCAAAACAGTCTTAGCATACAAGGGATGCACATTGAACTATATTTGTGTACGGATTTTTGGTACTTCTCCTACCAACTTAATATAATATAACTATTTTCTTTGTCATTCAAAAAAAAAAAAAATCAAAATAGTCTATATATATGTAGCAAATAACTTAGCTTGACGCAAATTAAAGATAATCACACTAACCGTTTAACATTCAGAAACTTAAAAACTTTATTTTCTTCTAAGTGATTATGAAAAAATTTATCAAACAAACTTCAATTTCCAATAATCAACATTAAGTTAATTTTTGCACCTCCCAT